GGTATTCCTGATTAAAGACCTAGTTTTCCTAAAGTTTTAAGCAAATCAAAGCAAATTAATTCTGTGCTGACTGTGATCTGAAGTGGAGTAAAAACAGCGTCCTGCTTCCCAGAAATCCGACAGAGCTGCACTTTGAGGTGGTTTTCGATTTTAAAAAAGCACTTTCCCTGATGGGATTTGATATAAATATAGAGCAGCTCCCCTGCTGTTGTGCCAAGTGTGTGAAAGCAGGTGCAGAGAGCCCTGCTGGACCCTGATGCAGCTCCAAGGCGCTCAGCTCCACGCCGGCCGTGTCGGCCATCCGTCTGGCGGTGCCGGAGTCCAAGGGCTGCGAGGCCGCCGGCTTACACAGCAGCCATTTTGCTGGCCTCTTTGACCCCGCTGAGGTAGGCCCCCGTCACGGTCTGAGGGAAGTGTCGGTTGGTGGCCTGGTGGGAAAAGAAATGACAAATAATGAAAGGTTAAACCTGGTTTAAAACCAGTGGAATCAAACACAGTCACATATTGAGCATTAGCTGGGTTACTGATGCTCAGAGCCTAAACACAGCCAGCTGGACTTCTTCTTCTTGTGAGACTTTTCTCCTCACATCCTGATGCTTCTTGAAGCCTGAATCCTGAAACAGTCAGCGGACTCGGTGAGCTGGTGATCCGTTTCCTGTCCTCACTGAGTTTAAGTGACAATATTCAGCCCGCAGAGTTCATTTTATTTTCTCATTTCTTTTGTCACCAACTGGTTGAGGTAGTTTGGGTTGGGCAGGCAGATGGACTTCTTGGAGCTAAAAGAAATCTCTGTTCTCATCCTGAAACTTCTTAAGGGGAGGGGTCAGTCGAGGGGTCAGAGATCGTCGATTGTCTGAAAGTCAGTTAATCCTGACCAGAGGAAAAAAGCCCAAAGAAGAAGAGAGCTCTACTCCCTGATTGGCCGGAACAGAAAACAGGAATTCAGCCCCTCTGGCCAGCTTGTTGTACACAGCAAAAACACCAAGTTTCTGTTGCCTTTGGGCTTCAGCTTGAATCCAAATCTACTCCATTTAGTAATCATCTTCCTTCTCTGTGTATTACAGGAGCTGTGACATTTTGGAGTAATTCAAACTTTTGCCAGATGTTGCGTTTGATCTGGTTTTAATTTCAGCACCCGATTGGTGCCTGGTTTTAGGATTCTTACTGCTGCCGGTTGAATCTCTGGGTTTGTGCTGGTTCAGGTGTGTGTGAAGCAAAGCGTGAAAACGAGCTGCCAAATGGCGGCGTTGGGCGGCTCAGGAGGAGGCAGGAGAGTTACCTCTCCGGCGAAGAACAGCTTTCCCTGCACGTCCTCGGCCAGCACGTCGTAGGCCTCCCCGCTGCCGCCCGTCTTCACAAAGCTGTAGGACATCTGAGACCACCTGTCTTTGCTCCAGTGGGTCACAAAGTAGTTCACAGGGTCTGGGACGTCCTGTGGGAGGAAGAGGACCTTTAATCCACAAGCGGAGGGGAAATCCCATCCAAAATTAGGCGAGACAGGTTTATGTTACAGTTGAGTTTTGTGTCCACGACAACTCAAAGTACCTTACATTTTAAAAGCAGACAATGAAGATAAAGAAAACAAATAAAAATAAGTTTAACCAAATAAAATAAATAGATTAAAGGCTAAAAAAAATTCAGCTGTAGTAACCCTGTTTCACCTCTTCAAGAAGACCGATTCAGATTTGAGGAGCATCAAACTGAAATGAAGCCTCTCCTGGTTTGGTTCGGACCTCTAAGAAATCAGGTGTGTTTTAAGCTGCATAGTTAATGGTTCTGATGCTGATAAATATGAGAGAAGTGGCCCAAAGAGCCGATGATCACAGGGAGGGCTGAGGGTGATCCCTCCACAGGGATGAATGGAGATACAAGCAGAGGTCGGGGCTGTGGGGCCAGGAAAGGGTTAATAACCCTTTAGTTTTCTACCCTTCCATCATCCATCGCTTATCTGTGGTCGGGTTGGGGGGCAGCATCTTAAGCAGGGAGATGGTTCAACTGGGGAATGATACACTTGAGTTTAGATGTCTTAACTGAGTTTATGCAGCGTCCAATCAGATCTCCAACATGATAATAATGAGTCTGCATACCCCTCAGCATGTAGCTAGTTGCTCCCCTGGTAGTCTCAGCTGACCCTTGACCCTCTATGCTGTGGCCGACCGGACCCCTGACCGGTGCTCACCTGCTCGGGGAAAAGCTCCCTCAGGACCTTCAGGCACTCTCCCACCACCTCCTGGTCCTCCAGCTCGCAGACAGCAGGAACGGCGTCGCCAGAGATGACCGACATCAACACCGCCTGCTTCCCCTGTTGGACACAGTTACATCAGCCAGGGCCTCAAAGGGTCTGAGCTTGGTTTCAGGGATCGGATACCCAGAACCTCACAGGACTGGGTCCTTCATTCTCCTCCCAGTCTAAACACACACATCTGGAGCAGATACTCAGACTCCCATGATGCCTCAGTGACCCTGAGGGGGAGGAGCCGACCCTCTGATCCAGAACCAGTCGGCTCCTCCTTGGTCATGGCTTTAAAAACACACCTGAGGGTCCAGGTCGTAGAAGACGCTGAACAGGCCTCGCTTTTCCGGTGCCGGCGGGATGTGACCAAAGTAGTCGGCTCCCTGGATCTTGGAGTCCCAGAACCGGGTCGGGAACTGCAGAGCGATCTGCGGGACGTTCGGACTGAGGTTTAGCTGCTGGGCACCGACAGCCTCTGGAGGCGGGCCGGCGGGGATGGGAGGTACCTTTTCGATGATGCCGGCTCCCAAGCTGTGGATGGCCTTCAGCTTCCTCTCAGGAAGGGGGGGGTGGAAGTGGAGGAGGCCCCTCTGGAGCAGGGTCAGCGGGACGGTGACCAGAACCTGGAAGAGAAAGCAGCCCGATGAGGACTGGATCCATGAACAGAACCTGCCCTGAATCAAACGTATTTCTGTCCCCCATATCATCCTGTCCTGGTTTTGGTTCTGATTAACTTTTTCCCTAGTTCTGATGGAGGTTTCTTCTGGTTCTGATGGAGGTTTGTTCCTGGTTCTGGTCCTGATGGAGATCTCTTCCTGGTTCTGCTGGTGTCCTTGGTTATGAACGAGCTGGACCCATTTGGAATACCTGGATCCTGACGGCTTAACTGAACCGGATCAGAGGTGAAATCTTTTGTCATCTGCTGCTTTAGAGATCAACCTGAACCCAGAGCCTTTGGTCCTGTAACCCAGTGGGCCGGTTTCAGAGCCTCTACCTTCTGGGCCGTCCACTGCGACCCGTTTGATGAGGTCACTTTCACGAGGTCCCCCGAGTAATCCATCGTCTGGACCTGTCCTTTCCTAGAAGACAAAGTTTAGTGAGGAAGAAATCTGTGGACCAGCTGAGCCATCGACAGCTGTACATAAAAACCATCAGTTCAACCACAACGATGTCATCAAACTATGCTCCTGAAATGGACACATTTCCTTTTCCCTCCTCATTTGGATCCTGTCAGGTTCTAAATTTGAGGGAACCTAAAGAGACAACAGGATCATGTGACAGAAGACACTGTCTGGTTTATTTATGGAACAAAAACTGAGAGCAGACCCAAAGCAGCCAGTTTAGAAACTGGTTTCTGGTGGTCTCTCAGTCTCTGCGATGGCTGTGGAGGACTTTTGTCCCTCTCTGCTGCCTGTAGCTATTCAGCTCATGGAGGTTCCTGCACGGCTCTGCTGCCGGGTTTTGGATCTCAGTCCTGTTGGGGGGCTGGCTCCAGCTTCAGCTGTGGGACAGACGGCCTCCCGTCTGACTCTGAACACTTTGGGTTCCTGGGGGGTTCCTGGTGGACTTTAAGGTCCTGGTGCTGCAGAACCTGCTCGGATCATCTGGGATGGATGAGCTAGGGGGGACCTTGTTGGACAAAGTGGCAGCCATCCTGAATGTCTTCACCTGTGAATAAACTCTCTCTCTAAGGGGTGGTGGAATCCAGATGACTCTTAGGTTATGGCTGATGTCTTTCCTCCTTGACATTGTGTAAACACACTCCTGCTCCAGACTCCATAATTTTGCTAAATAATTAACTGAACGAGAGGCGTTTTTGCTTTCTTGGTTTATATCGAACTCGTTTAGTTTGAGGACGGGATTCGTTTTCATCGTTCCCGCGCAAGTAAAACCCCACAAATCAAAAGATGGCGGAGCCCCACTTTCACGTTTTTCTAGAGACGGCCAAAGTAAACTTTAGTGTAATACCGCGTTAGAAGGTAAGGCAGCTGCTAGCTTTATGTTTTAAGCATGCGTCCTCAGCTAAAGACAAACAGGAGAATTGTGTAGCTACCCGCAGATTCATGAGCCACGTTATCCCCGCCGCCGTCCATTCCGTCTCATTTAGAGAGAACCGCTCCGCGTCCACAGCTTCTTCGTCCTCGTCTCGTAAGGTCTTCTTAGTTTGCAGCCCGTTGGTATTTTTTATTCCTTAAAGAGCGACCGTCCAGCGTTAAAACCAGTCCCTCCGGTTTATTAGGGGGGTGGGGAGGACCCACAGCATGTTTACCCTCAGCGTCCGGACTGCAAATGAAGCGCGCATGCGCCGGGATGGACGGCCGAAATGATCACGCGGTGCCGCTCCGCCCCTGCAGCACATCACGTCACGTGGCAGATTATGCAAATTAGGCGATGACGTCATTTGGCGACTTCTAGCGACTTTTAGCAGAGCCAATAGCTACTTTCCTTACTGAGGAGTTGGCAACACTGATCTTTTGTCCGCCAAGTTTGGATTGTTTGGGCTCTGCAGTCAACGACGCTTTCTGTTGGATACGAAACGTCAAATTTTCACAGTTTAACCGGAAGTATGACTAGTTTTATTAAAAATAATAATATAGCTCGTTTGTGTTGTTTCTTTTCGTTCTTCTGTTGTCAGTAAGTAGGACGTATAAAAACAAGCTTTAATTTGTTTAACGTCGCCGGAAGTTGAATAGCTTTCAAATCTGATGGGAAGTAGAAGTGAAACGACAAGAGTTTTTTGTCAATTTTAACATTAATAACGTTGACGATGAACCAGCAGTTTAGGGATACAGATGTATCTCTAACGGCAGGGAAGACTAAGCAGAAGGACGCAGGAAAGAGCAGACAGGTTCATGCGGAACCAGCTAAAGTTAACCTCAGTTGTGTTATCATAGTAACATGCATGCACCTCCCTGGTTGCCAGGTTTGGTCCAAATGTGTGGTATTGAAAAATTACACTTACCGAACTTGCGTTGAATATTTGAAATTGGTCAAATGCATCGAACTGCAGCCCAGCTACGTTTTCTCTGTATTGTAACAAAGTTTGCAGTTACTCAAATACAACAGATTTGTTCTCTAAAATAAGTCGTTCCATCTTCCAGGTGCCACATTCAGGGGGCATTTGCTCATCCCCCTCTAATGGTAAGAGTCCTGGCTCTCTGATCTGAAAAAAATCGATAACGTGACACTTAACAAGGTCTAACACCCATCAGGCGTTCTGATCTGCTGAATCCATATCAGGGTACCCACCTCAGAACTGTCCCCCAGGTTCACAATTATCTAAAACTTGAAATTAAAATAGATCCATGTCCCCATCTTGACTGCAACAATAATGTGCATCTACGTGACACCTATACCAAATATTTAGGAGGAAGAAATAACATTTACAGATTTTCTGGGTTTTTTAAATTAATTATTTGTTTGTTTTTTGTAGATGCAATGCGAAAGTTCGTTTTGGCACACAGGCCCAAACCACCCAGCAAGGAGTTCATCAGGGGTCAGAGTCTGCATGACAGTAGTTACGACCTGCATGCGGAGAATACGCTAGTCCCAGAGTCCCAGGACTCTGAGGTTCAGTTCACAGACACAGGTTTGTGTTTTCTCATGATTCACAGACACAGGTTTGTGTTTTCTCATGATTCACAGACCAGTCACATTAATAAGTCAGTATTAAATCACCAACTAAAAGAAAATTCAAGAGATACACTGCAGAAATGGAATAGATTAACTGGTATATTCGGGCTTCTCTTTACTTCTGTTTTCCAGATATGTCTCTGCCTTCATGTCTGGATAGTAGTTCTGAGTTTCCGGAAACTGACAGAGACAGAGAGTTGCTGTGGTCTGGCCAACCCTCTGACTTCTCTTCTGTAGCACTCCTAAATATTTACAAAGAACTGATGACTGTCTACAAACAGCTAAAGGTGAGAATAAAAGTGATAGAAACAAATAAGCGTCCAATGCTAAGCCTACATGCAGGTTTGTTCCTATGAGATGATGCATGAATTCATTCAAACAATAGACACCATCACACTGGAAGAGACCACACTAAAAGTTCCAGGTGTCTTGGTTTTCACTTTTTTTGTTAGTAGTTGTGGAATTTGTTGAGTTTGTTTTGTGTTTTTTTTGTGTTTATACACAGGCCGAACGACAAAGTCAGCAGCGAAGGGAGAGGGAGTTGCACGAGCGAGAAAAGAGGCTGAAACAACAGGAGGAGGCTTTCAGGAGGCTGTCCGGATTGGAGACTGTCCACACTCGAGATATGGTCATGGAAGAGGTTGGATTCATCATTGCCCTTACAAAAAAGCAATACTTTTCATGCTTGTTTTCCACTCTGTGTTTTTTATCCATCCTAATGGTTTGCTTCTGAGTTTTAGTTACCCAGAACCACCTGAAAGGTTTTTAATGGTGGCTGGATATGAGCAGGCACTCAGCAGGTGACTGGATCTGACATCTCTCCATCACAGATTCGCTTTCATCACTCACATTTTGCCACTAGCCTTTTGGTAAAATCTCTTTCCTTTAGGTACCCTCCTTCCACTTCTCCACAAAGGAAACCACGAAACTATGACATAATTATTGGAATTGAGCTGAACCTTTACATCCATATTAAATCGATAACATCAGCAGCTGAAAAGGAAGAGGAATAAAGCAGACTTAGAAAGACTAATCAGTGCATTTGTCTTCAGCAGGCTACTGTAACGGCCTGCTAACTGGGCTCTTTAAACGAGCTGTAAGACAGCTGCAGGACATCCAAACTGCTGCTACTCGAGTAGAACCAGGAAATAGGACCATATTGTGACTCCCTGCTGCTCAGAGAATAGACTTTACACCAGTTTGAATTTCCTTAGGTTCGAATTGTGTTCTACAAATCAACTTACCTTGATTCCAGGCAGTTCAACTCAGTGTAATACAGATAATACTACACTTTTCATTATACATGAAGGTATATGTGCATTTCGCCAGAAACACCAGCAAGAACTGAGCAAGCTGCAGGATCGCATTAGAGAGAAAAGCAAAGAAAACAAGAGGCTCAAATCCAGCTACGACACCATTAAGGAGCAGAATGACAAAATGAAGAAGCAGGTTAGAAAAATGGTTTCCTGTGAGTTTTTTGTCTAGACATGCAGTGTTTTAGCATCCCACATTTCATCATTATTAATGATGGGTTTTGGAGTCATTGTAATAAAATAATAGATATGGCAAAGCTGTTATAAGTCTGTGCAGACTTTATTACCATGTTAAAACAATTCAACAAATATTTCTTATACTAAAATAGTTACTACTTTTATCCACAGGAGGGCACAATTTAAAGCTCTTGTATTTGCAAAGTTGTTTTCCCTGTTAATGTGATATTCAGAATTTCATAACAAACCTTGACCTCAAAGCCACTCTCAAATAGAGCATATGTGTCTAGATTTGTCCTATTAAAATGCATGAGTTCAATATTCACTTACATAGCTATTAACATCTATCTCTACCTTTCTTATATTTTCCTCAGGATCATGTTTAAAATCCAAAACCAGTTTATTGGCTATATTTGCAGGACTTGCGCCCAACAGGCCTGCAAGTGTTAATGCTTTTATTAGATCAAGTTTTTTCAGAATTAAAGTGACAAGACCAATTTTAAAAACTGTTTTTCATAAGATTAATTTAAAGCATGAATGAATTATTAGTTGCTATCTTCAAGCTTATTTTGTTTAGAATAAAACACAGAAAGAAATCTAAAAGCCAAAGGCATTTTTAAAATTCTATTTGATTATATACACCACCTCAAAAAGTGGTAACTTTACAAAAAACTGCCTTTACTAAGTCCTGCATTGACCCAGAGTCCTGGACTCAACCCACGAGAGCAAATTTGAAGATACCTGAAGATGTCAATGTACTGATGATCCCGTCCAACTTGGCTGAGCTTGGCTGTTTTTTGCCAAGAAAAATGGGAGAAACATTAAAGAAATTTGAATGTGGATGGACAGGATTATTGGATCATTGCTGAAAGGATTTGAAGGCTGTCATTGTTGCCAAAGATGATATAACCAGACACAGCATGAAGGAGCTGTTTACTGAAAACAGGATAGTTCAAGTTTGGTTTCTTTTTAGTGTTTTAAAAAAAAATTACCCACACTTGTTTTATTGTGACGATACAAAATAAAGAGGGATGAAGTCTGAAGTTTCAAAATTACCAGAAAAAGCTGTTCCCATGATGTGCCATATGGACTGTAAGTGCAACAATAAATTAGGATGAGTTTCACTGGTTTATTATGTCTGCAGGGAACCTCTAGAACTTTACCTGTTGAATTAATCCGTTACAGCTTTAAGCCAAAGACAGATTTACTGCATATATAGGCATATAAATGGAAGAAACAGGTTTGACATTTTCAGTTTTTTCCCAAACAGTTGAATGAGCTCACTGGACAAAATAGGAAGCTGGGGAGCCAGTCCAAGAGGCTGCAGGCTCGACTGGAAAACCTACAGGTGACATCTTGTTTTTCAACTCAGAGTTGTGCATTTGTTCATGTTTTTTTATTTTAATTTTATACAAGCAGTCAGGCTGGATTAGATTTGTTCTTAAGTTTCTAATTGTACTTTAACATTTATTTTCCAGAACCTGCATACACACACATAAGGAAAATTCGAGGAATGTTTTGCTGGATTTATGTTTTTCATTTCCAGAATTTGACATGTTTGGTGGACAAATAAATCTGTTGTTCATATGTGTGTTAATTGATGTAAATTTATATCATTTTAGAGGAAATTTGAACTCTGCACCATGTTAAGAGGCTGTCAAATAAGGAATGTAAACAGCACAGAGTGTGTTAAACCTCACACGAAGGAGAAAACTTCAGCCTCTGGAAAATGCAGTGAGAAGGTACTGCAACAACTCTCTATATGTTTGTCTGCCAGTTAAATGAGTTGGATTAGTTCCAACTTACTTTACTGTAGTTACATTACGTAAAAAAAAAAAAGTAATGAAATTAAAAAAAAATCCCTCAGTCTTGATTAGACAAACATAACTTGCTGATTTACACATCCAAATTGGAAACGGCTCAACAGTCATTCCCACAAACCACGTTCATGCTGCAAACTGACATGATAAATCAGTTTGTGATTTTGTTAAGTTATCATCGCTGTTGTTTATGAAGATGGACACACTGAGCTGGCTCTGCATATCTCCGTTCAGAGAACTTTGGATTTATTCCACTGCTGTGTTGTTCAGCTTTTTACCCATCTTTCTTTGTCTTTTGTAATATCGTTTGACACCTTTTTATTCCTCTATCAGGTCAGCCCCATCCAACTAAAGCTTTTGGCATTTCTCCTTGAATGGTTTCTTGATGGAAAGCTGTTCTCATCAGCAGCTGGAGTTGAAGTGAAAGGTTTACCCCCAGAGGTTCTAATGAGCGAAAGATGCATCAAGGTGATGTGTTCAGTGCGCTGAAGTTTGATGTCTCAGTCAATAAAGAAGCAGCAGTTAATGAGGTTGTGGCCAGATTTGACTGAGTTTTTTTTAATCATGATTTGTCTGTCTCCCTGTAGGTACTACCGTTGTTAGCCGATCAGCTTCAACATGCTCCCCTTACAGAAGCCAATCTCCTCCTCAGCCTTCTCCGCCTCGTGCACTGGGCTCTGGGACACTTAGAGAGTAGCGCTCAGGTAAACATCAGGCTGTGGATAACCTTTGCAGTTAGATCCGTCTCTGTGTGATTAAGCAGATTTTACTGTACGACATCACTGAATGAAGGGCATGTTAGGCATCTGCTTGTTTCCTCAACTTGAAGCAAAAGCGATGGTTGGGTTGTCATGTTTTGGAAATGTTTGTGTTAGTTGCAGAGTAATTTCCTCTGTTGAGACAAACGGCTGCCAAACAGGGATCTTGTAATCGGCATCTCAGTCTGGGGTCACCACGCGAAAACCACAGCACGGTCTAAATGCTCCGTCCTCTCAGATGCTGCTGCTTTCAGAAATACACATCCACTTCAGATGCAGGACGTCAGCTTTTTTTTAAAAAATTTTTGTTTATCTCCTCTCAAAAGGTAAAACGCATCAGTGCACGTAGGACTTGATGAGTGGTGTCTTCATAGTAAATATGAGAAGTTTGGTTGGTTTGTAAAGTCCCCTGCTTGTCTGCATTGAGCAGAGCCAAGCCGTTAGAACAGGCTGTTCCTGTTTTTGTGGTTTTGATAAAGATGCGGATCATCCATTATTCAGCAATGCAACCACAACAAACACTGTGTATCAGCAATTGCTGGTTGTAGAGGTGACTAGTGAAACATCTTTGTTACTGTTGCTCAGCTCCACACTGTAGTCTAACACTGCAGTCTACAGACTAACACAAAGTGATATACCAGCTTCCACTATTTAATAATTCTGCTGGTTGTTTAAGCTCCCAAATGTCTGCCTTGGATTAGGTTCCTCGGACCTGAATCCTCCAAGCTTCAGTTCTCATCGACAGTCCTGCTGCAGGGAGGTTGGCTGCATCGTGTTTGTTTTTTAAGTTATGTCATATCTGCTTAGTGACATGCTTGATGTTCAACTGGAATCACATGCTCCCTTATTACTGCAGTATGTGCTTATTTTTTTTTAAGATGAGAGCTTACCATCCCTTGGTGCACAAATGGAGTGAGGAAGATGATTTAAGGTCAAGGGGCCTTTGTGAACCAGTTTGGGGGGGAGGAAACGAAGATGAAAAGTGGAATCTAGTTTGCCGGAAAACCGCCAGCTCTAAATTGCTTTGGAAATTCAGATCTGAATAGTAGCTGTGGTTTGCTTTATATTGCGCTCTCGGTTATTTGGTGAAGACTGTTGCTGGCTCCCCATCGGCTGACCTTGAATTGTATCCAATGCTATTTGATAATTGGTAAACCATTCTCAGTGTTTGCATTTTTATAGCAAAAAATAAATCAGCAAAGGCACCATTCGCAGTTTCCTGCAATTACTATAGCATTTAAGTGTAGGTTTTTCTGTGTTTTTCACAGCATGTGGCTCTGTCAGCCACACTGCGGCGGATTGGAGAGGCGGTGTCGAAAGGCCTGGAGCCTCCCGTGTCCAGCATCAGTGCCACTGGGCCGGTCAGCATTCGGCCTCTTTGCCACAGCCCATGTCCCAACACACGAATCCTCTCCAACCTCATCATCCTTCGCACCATCACACAAGGTATCAGAGATACTGTTGAAAAGCACAAAGGAACCTTTATATGATAAAGTCTTACACTGACAATTGACATCCTACAAATATAGAAAGCGAACATAGATTTCTAGATTTTTCTTTCCATCCCGCATGCACATAGCATGTGTACATACAGGTAACGTCATAAGCCTGCCCAAATAGAAATAAAAAGCTTTTGCTTTGGTTGTTCAGTGAAGGAAGACCCTTTGAAAGCACTGCAGCAGCTCGGAGTATCAAAAGCACTTCGGAACTCAGCAGGGTGATAAAACTGCAAGAACAAGTAAGAAAATAAATCAAAGCCCTTCCTTTTTGAGCTATAAAACTTAACCCAAGTCGAATTCACCAGCAACAGAACTGTATCATCTACACACAGGAATTATCTCTTTATATCTTTTCCAGATGGCCAAAATAAAACAAAACAGTTTTGTTAAAACTTTTTTATCGAGTTATTTGAAGAAAATGTTTTTGTAGTGAGACATTGGTGCGATGATGCACTTTGAGCAGTAGCTCACTTATTTATTAGAAGGGATGGCATGAATTAGTGTTATGTGCGTTAGAGTGTAGAGACAGTATTATAAAAGTTTAAATCTGAGGGAGATTGTAAAATGAATTATGTATTTAAAAACAAGGAACAATTCTTTTAATTTTTTGAAATTCTTTGATTGTTATTGTGGTGGTTAGCACCATCGCCTCACAGCAAGAGGGTTCTGGGTTTGAGTCCCGGGGGAGCCAGGACCTTTCTGTGTGGAGTTTGCATGTTAAGTTGATTGGACATTCCAAATTGCCCTTAGGAGAGAGTGTGAGTTTGCATGGTTGTTTGTCCTTGTGTGTCTCTGTGTGGTCCTGCCATGGACTGGCGGACCGTCCAGGGTATACCCTCCTTCTCACCCATTGACCACTGGGATAGGGATAGGCTCCACTTCCCCTGCGACCCCATAAGGGAATAAGCGGTAACAATAATGGGTGGATGGATGATTACATGTTGAAACTGATTTGAAGTTTAAAGATAGGTTGAATTTTGATGCAAAATAAGTATTTGCAATAGTAGTAAGTGGGGCCTGCCTATGGCGTGGCCCCCCTTAAATATGTGATGCCCCATGTTTCCTGACATATTTTATGGAACCACCCACTAAAATGATCTTCCATCTGATCACAATTGCGCTTGGAATGCCCAACCAGACCGTTTCCTGACAGATAGCTTTCCAGCTTTCCTTTCCGTCCCACTGTGGACTGACAGGAAACCAAATTGAGTGTAAAGGCTTTTTACTCATAGCAGGTACTGTTCTGAAAATGACCTAACCTCAGAACAAAATACAAAACAGCTTTTATCAGTTGTCAGTTATAAATCCTCCGTGGGGTCACAGATGTTGCTTTGCCTTTGATATTGTCCCACAGCAAGGTTTTTAAGACTTTGTATTTAACCACAAAACAGAAGAAGTGCCCCAAAACTAAACTACCGATCTACATGATCAGGAAAAAAGCTCAGACTGCAGTGTGTTTTTCTTCTCTGTTTTGCAGCGGATGTGCTTTCTCAGGCACTTGACAGACTCTGCATTGAACTTAAATGTGAGGAGAGTCGAGGCCTGTACATCCACTATGGGGGAGTTCCAGTGCTGCTTTCAGTACTCAGATCTGGTCGGGCAGGGCTTCGCTCACCTATAGACATCCTTATGCAGCTCACTCAACAGTCCTGTAAGTAGGCCTATATAATTTGTGATATTTTTATGGTATTAATACTGGATCGATAAAAGTTGTGTTTCTTTGTTCTAATAGTCTTCTAATAGTCTTTGCAGCATTCACTCTCAGGTGCTTCAGATTCGCAAACTTAGTGAAAGAACATTCACTCCCGACTTCACATAGAGATTACCAAGAGAACAAAAAAAAAAACAGGGAAAAAAACCTAAGAACTCATCTGCAATCAAGATTTTTTTTCCTCACAGCTGGAAAGATTCAGACCGATAGCAGTTTTAACAGCAGAGGACAAGGTCGCTGCAGATCAACACAGGCCTTTAGCAGGTCACAAGCGATGCCTGAAATAGATGTATTTTTTTCTAATTAAATCCTGTTTCTTGTTCTATGTTCTGTTTAACACATCGCTGCACTCCGGTTGCCAAGTTTCGTCTGACCCAGCATTCCTTCAGAGCTCTGAACTCGACAGTTTTGGAGCAGCTGTGTAACACCCTGACCGGCAGAACACGTTTGGTCCAGCTCAGCCGCAGCCCCTCTCACTTGTGATTTAGTTAGAACTGTATAATTCATTCTGAAAAGGAAATGAGATGTAATTGACACAGCTGCTGCGTTCACTTTTGTAACGCAGATTTATAGACTGTCCCAACTATCACTATTTACTTTTATTAATAGCAGCCCTGTGCTGTCACACACCACATCATCTCCTCATGAAATCCATGTGTGTATTGTAAGGCTTTGTCCGAGCACACATCAGTCGCAGGCACTAGTCAGGCAATTAGGTTTGGAAGTTGGCGTTATAAACCCTGGGACCTCTACCTCTTCCTGGCTGTTTTATGGAAAAACTAAAGACCGGTTGGAGGTGAACAGGGTTGAGATAACAGCTGCTGTCTGTTTTCATGGAGAGGGGTATTTCGCCAGGGTTATTGGCCGTATCATTTTAACTGCCGTGCGCTAATACAAGGCAGAGCCTCACACTGGAAGCAAATGGGGCATTAGCTGTGCATTTGTGTGCTTCGTGTCACTTGGAATGCTAGCAAAACTCGCTAATGACCGTGTTTTAGCTGAAGTAATGAGGAGCGATGGAAAAAGGTTGGGTCAGAGGGCGCAGGCGTTTCCACCCGAAGCTTTCCAGTAAAACAGAACAGAAGCCTGAATACACAGTAATCCATGATGGAGGATGGTTGAGGTAAAACTACCACAGTTTGACTGCTTGTTTAAATTTCAGCCACTTGCCAGTCCCCCCAGTGAATAGGAGGCTCAAACATCAAAACCGGCAGTCCACAGCTAAAACCTCAATCTGGTAAACACCGGGGACATCAACTGTGAAAGCGCCTGATGCATTGTGGTTACCTCTGACGGTCATTTTATTCTGCCTGTTTGTGTTTGGCTGCGTTGTTTCAGTGCTTGTTTGTTTGCCTCATTTGCGTCGCTGCACTCACCCAACTTGATTTTTTTCAAAACGCCTTATGAAAAGTAGAGAAATCTTGTCTTTTTTGTTCTATTTGATGTGTCCCACAACATCTGTTGTGGGACAGCTGTCACTTCCAGGAGGTATGTGTTTGTGTAACTGGGTTTGTGTGTTTGTAACTATCCCAATATGCATCCACACGGCCACAAATGCCGCACACAGAATAAGCTCAGTGTCGGGCCTGAGGATGCTCTGACGGTTTGCTGATCGGTGGGTTGAGCTACAGCAACCCTAAATCATCTCTAGGTTTTATCTGTCACTTCCCGGTTCCTCCGCTCTGTTCTGACTGGATTAAAGTAGTAAAGGCTGCTTTAATTCTGTCTCATGAACTCAACTGAAAAACAATCCGTTCCTTCCTTTTGTTGGGCCTCGTTTCATGCCGGGCAGCATGGAGCAACAGCTCATTAATGTCAGCAGTTGCTCTCTTTAAACTGCTTAGTTAGACTTGTATTTGCTTTAGAAATGCAATTTTTAAAGTTGGTACCTTTGTTCATGTAATTCATCTGCTTTATAAGAATAAGATAAAAAAAGTCACAGTAAAATAATGATAGGTGCTACATTTTTTGTTTTGTTTTTGTAGAATGCAAAGCTCCAAACAACACCAACATGAACAGCTTTTGAATAAATGATCATTTTGGGTAATATCTTTTCTTTTTTCCTTTTTCTTTTATCACCTCAACAAACCACAATGGTGATTCTAAACTCTTTGCCTGATGTTGTAATATTATCTTTAAAGCACAGAAGGGGGGATTTCCAGAAGAAGAATCATGCTGAGGAGATATTTTTTAAAAAAGGAAGTTTTTGTATAAAATAGTTGGATTTCTAAAAGTGAATTGCAAAAATGTCCTGCTTTTTGGCCCATCTTCTACTTTATCATCATATATGAAGTCTTACTTGATTTATTTCTCTGCTTTAAGCTGCTCTAAAAGCCTGAACGGTCCCTCTGTTGTTCATTGCCTGTTTCCTCCCACTCATGTGTGCTTTAAGACAGCAAAGGGTTCCTTTTTTAATGGCAGGAATGTGACTTCAGCAGAAACAAATGTTTGTTTACCAGTAACTAACTTTATTTTAGGACTTCATAAGGTCAAATTTAGCTGTTATTGATTTAAAAGATGTGCAGCTGCCATCTGTTTGCATCAGCCATGCTGCTCCCTCCGTTTTATCTCCCTGTGTGTGCATGTGGTTGAGTTTATGGTATGATGATGAGAAGGTCAAAGCTAAAAGTGACAGTATGGAAGCGCTTCTGAATCCAATCATTACAAAAACCACTTCGACCAGCATCTGTGTCCCGGTCTCACTCAGTTTGGTCGTTGGTGTTTTTATGGTTTCTTTTGTGTGTCCGTGCAGTTTTCATTCTTATGAAAATCCAAAAAGTATTGCAAAATAGAGCCGATCATTTCCATCTCCTCAGAAGATGTAACGCTGAAAGATATGTTTTCCATTATTAAAATGAGTAATAATCCGCTGCTTCTACTATGCAGGTTACTTAGGTCTGTTTCTAGAAGCGTGCTGCTGCGAGGAGTTTTTCAGAACAGCCTCGAACATCCTGAAAAATCCTCGTCTGGAGCTGTCGTTACTTGAGAAGCTCTCCATCCTTCTGCAAAAGCTCTCCAGCATAAGGTAAGAATTTCATTTACGTCAGCAGCGATAATTTCACACCAGTAAAAATGATTACGCAAGACGGAGCAGAAAAGACTTTTTGTTCTCCGACTATCTGATTGGTGGCCGTTGTCTTTGTGCAATCCTGTTCAGAAAAAGCCATCGCCTGTTCGAGCTCTCGTCCCTCCACCATCAGATAGAGGATCTGCTTCCCAAAGTGGACCCCACGCACACATTCCTCTGCCTCAACCTCCAATCTATCCTTCTCAACCTTCAGTGAAACGCGCAAGTGTTCCTCTGACTCATCCCGACAACCTGTGTGTGTCGGACGATAAAATCCCTCCTCTGTTTTTCCGGTGCAGCTCTTTAATGTGAACTTTAGCTTATTACCAAAGCTGCAGTTTTATCCTCTTTGTCTAAAAAAAAAAAAGCACAATGAATCATTTAGACTTGTCTGTTAGAAGAACGTTTTTATCCTCTTTCTATTGCATTTAATTACTGGTGTTTTTGTGTCCCACAAGTTTAATTAGATGTATATTTTTATTTCCTGTTTTTGAGCAAATGTCACTCTTGCGGATGTGACTGCTAAACCATTTTATAGCATTTAACAAAAGATCTGAAGTACATTAAGCTTGAATGGCATAAAACAACTGAAATCCATGTGTTTTTGATGAAAAAATAAACAGATAAATAAAATCCCCTTATTTGTTCCAGGGATGGGGCGAGTTAATGGGGGCAGGGTCCTCGTTACGGGGCGCACTGCTGGTTGATGGAAGAGGTTCGAAGGACTGGAGCAATTACCGCAGATATTTAAAATGTACTTGTTGAAAACCACTCGGATTGCGCTTGGCTAGTACAAATATGAAAGGGAGGCTTTCAGGATTTTTTTTTAAGTCCCCGCAGCGTTACAGTACCATCATTAACTGTAAATGTTCAAAAGATGCCAAGCTTGATGGATTATATGTAAAACTTTTACATTAGTTTTCTATTGTTGAAGTTTGAGGCATAAAGTCTTTGATAAGAAAAAGCATAGGCTGTGGAAATTTAATCATTACATTTCAAAACGTTTTAAGGATTTTATTGCATTGCTGACATTTATTATTTTAATTCACAATAGAAAAAAGAATAAAAGGCAAAACCACTGACTTGTTAAAAAGTGCGTTGTATGACCAGACATACTGATGTCTGATGTGTCCATCCTTGAGGTTGAACTTTTCCCACATACCTGTTCACCTTTGAGGAACAAGGAACCAGAACCAAAACTTTGACCTCAAGTTTGATTTGTTCTTTGTTGTTTTGTAATATTGGTGTATCCTCCACTTTATCAGTAGGTTTGTCTGTTTTCACTCTTACTTTGAAGTTGAAGAAGCCATCATTTTTTTTAGAGTGATTTAACAACCTGCTTGAGAACAAAGATTCCTGCAATGAAAAATTTCAGCGGCAGTCTTTGAGTGACGGCAGCCGCTTCGAAAGTATCTTAATCTGCAAAGCAAAGTGGTACGGGACGCTCGAGACAGAGGTCTAGTTTTTATGGTGTTATATCGGCCCGTTCCTAAGAGAAACTTAAAAGCACATTATTTACTTTGATGAATAAAAAAGAAATCCTTTTCGATCACACATCCCATAAGCTGCTTTTTATTTATACCAATATAATGATAAGCCATGCTGTTTTCTGAATCACTGGTTTATAGCCTCTTCTGTTTTGATGCCGGCACCAAAGCATGTGGAAGAAGAATGCTACAAGTTCTATTTATAGATTCTGTAAATGGATAACATATTAGTTTTAGTGAAGCTCTTTTAGGGAAGTTGAAGTGTTTTGAATAAATGGTATGTTTTTATTATACATTGTGGGCAGATCTAAATGGCCCCAGCAGAGGGGAAAATCTTTATCCATCACATGTAACAAATTTACCAGATAAAGCCTGAACCTAACTAAGATTTTTTGCCCCTTTCAAACGGTTGCTGCCATCTCCAAAGAAGCGGTAGCAGATGGGATTCAATTTTGGAGCTTGTGCGCCCTGTTTTTCAAAGCGGATTCTTTGGTGAGTAAAACTTGATGATGTGATCTGAAAATGAAATGCCAGGCTTCATAAACAACTTTGGGATATGTTTCATGTGGCAACAAGAGCAGTCATGAGTTTAGCAATCCAAGAGACATTTGTAACTTTTCCTCTCTTGACAGATGGAGATGAGTGGCAAACCTTGTAGCACCAACCGCGTCACGTCTAGCAGGCAGTTAAAATGATTCATACGAGCCCCGAAGACTCCAAAAGTATTTTTATTAATTAATAAATGGCGCAGCTTCGGGGCATGCACACTGACGCTGATATGTTCTGTTTAGTGAGACCTGTCTGTTTTCCTTTCTTTCTTAGAACCTGTCAGTTTCCTAGTCAAAGCACAAAGTGGGCAGCTGTGATTCTGGATGCAAAAATGGTTATTTTCTAATGCGGCTTTCAGTGGTTCAATCTCTGGTTTCTTTCTTTGCACATTCTGATGTGTGCTTTGGTGTTCTGAACCCCACAAAAGCCACTGATTAGTTAAATATATTTGGAGTAGTTGTAAAAGCATGGGATATCTTGGGGAAAGAATAATTTCCCTATGAATCTATATTACTTGTGGACTATTATTTCAATGAAGCCTAGTTAGCAACGTGTCTACTCCATCTGATTTATTTCCTTTATGATCTAAATTATGATCAGACTTGAGCCTGCATATGGGATTAACACTGGACAGCATCACTGCCACCACCTAACATAATACGCTGATCCTGATTTATGTTTGAGATTCTTTCAATCAACCGAAAATTCAGGAAAATTACCCGGAGCAGTCCCTTCCACTCTGGTCTGGCAGGTAGACCTTATTAAAATGTTATTTGGTAAGTGGGAGGAGGTGGGTTGAGGGAAACATCGGCGGTTTTAGTTCAGCAAAACCATAAAGGCAAGTCAATCAGTAATTCCATGCGGCAGACCACCGAATGTATTTTATTTTCACTGGTCGCGCTATTCATGCACGCCTGAGTAATGCAAAAAGCACATGGAGGTTCTGGTGGAATACCTGGCCGTAAATGAGATATTATGTGATAGGGCAAAGTGGAAACAGCTGTCAGGGGTTTTAATGGTAGACAGATTGGGCTCCCAGTAGTTTCCCAGTTCAAGTTTATTTTCACTCCTTTTCTGTTTTCCAGGTTTGAACCTGTTAAATAAGAGTAACGACTGTTTTCAAACCAGAAATTTTAAACCAGGATATATCCATTTAAGGTGCTCTGCTCACCATACGTCAGTGAGCTTCTAAAGTTGTCTGATTTTTAATGATCTCAAAAACGCCAGTCTGAAAGACCAAGGTTGATTGTAAACTGTTTGATTTCAGCTGTTTTTTTTTCCACATCTCATCACGTTCTACCACAATTCCACAAACATAATCAATTAAGACTGCAAAGAGCTGTACTAGCTCGCTTTTTAATGCAATTCAAATCCATCCTGCTTGTAGCTCTTTAATTGGCCTGCTTAGCTAAATAATGAGGGCATAAAGACTTACTTGTGTGTGTCTGTGAGTTAAAAGAAGTGGACCATGTTATCAGTTTTGATGCAATAGTTACACAATTGTGTTGCCGTTGTGGCTGCCCAACCCTATTCACCTTTGCATTCCAGACAGACTTGCTCTTATCTAAAAGAATTAAAATTAAATAAATGGAAAATACATCTGATGGAAATCTGGACATTGCACTCTGCTGTTTGGATAAGTGTGTGCATGTAAGTGTTGGGGTGGGGTGGGGGGGGGGGTGGGGGGGCGGTAAAGGTGTTGAAAACTGGCATAAGATTCATTTGTCACCTGGTTGGCACTCCTTGCCCCAAAGACACTGTCTGTGGCTTCATCTTTTTCATATGAAAGAAAGCCACGCCACATTCTTAAGAACAGACCCTGAGGAAACGTCTGTACCTACTTAATGTGCGCGTGAGTCTGTGTGTGCAGGTACTAAAGGTGCTTTTAAAGTCAGAAGGACTTTTTTTTTGTGGGCCACTCTGATCATTTGAAATATGATAAATGATGGTCCTCGTGGCATCAGCTGGTGCACAGCCTGAAGACCTACAGTCACACCACAGATAAACTTAATCTTTCAGCCGAGGCCTGTGGAAACCTGACACAACTACACTCCCACAGCGAATGAAAGCTTTATGACAAAGAGGTGCCACTGCAGGTGCTGATGAGGAATACTTCGTCTTCGTCAAACGGATCTCTGGGTGCAGGCGGCGGGTTTGATGAAAATGTTGTCTAAAGGAAGATTGCTCAAGGCCGAAATCTTTTATCGGCAGAGATTGGTGGTGTCGTGGGGAGCGATGTGTGTCATACATTTTATGTAGAAGTTATTATCTCGGATGAGAGATGTGGTTTGGCTTCACGACTCACAGTAACAGGCCACTGGAGGAGCAAAAAGGGGCATTTGGCATTAGAGCTATTCACTTAATTAAGTCCAATCCTTTAATTATGTCCTCCAGCCCTTTTCAGAAGAAAGCATCTTTACCGTAATTTGACATCCATTTAGTGTGTCAGGATCAATGAATGACCTTTTTATTTTCCTTTTGATGTCTGTGGGGTGTTAACCAACCCAGTTAGTGTCAATACACACTGTCAAACATTTGATCAGGATAATTGCTGTTATGGACACAATGCTACTAACGTCATTAAAGTAAATAAAGCTGTTCTGGCATTTTGATAATTCTTCTCAGTTAAACACTTGATTGCCAATCTAATACCTTGTGTTTCTTTGATAAACCAAAAAAAGTGTTTAAATTGGCCACATGTGTGGTTAAATATCTAACTTTAAAATGAGTTGAGCAGTTGGTTAAAATGAGATTGGTGCCAACATATGTACTGTAATTGAAAAGATTTCCACCATACATCTTTATTAAGGTATACTTTATGTACAATAATAACTTATATATACAGTTACACTTTGTTGAAGAGCTTGTGTGTTTTCTACGTGTACTAAACTGTATTGTGTGCCCTACTGAGGTAAGTAAATCGTGTTTGGCTTCTGTGTACTATCATATCAGCATAATATATGTCAGATAAAACTCTCACATGCCTGGAGAAAAGCTCAGTTTCATTTGAGCTCTCTCAGCTCATGCTGTCATAAAAACCTGTATAAGCACACAAATAGAAAATCATAGACATGGTTTGTAGACAACACTGGTCTTCGAAGACTATATATCTAAATTGGAGCTTGAGATCAGAGGCAAAAAAAAAAAATCTGTACATAGATATTCCGTTGACACACATGTGCATTAATTAATTTAAAGTGCTGGAGTCCAGCCCCAGATTGCAATGTGAGATATGACCAAAAGGCATTGGGTAGAAAACTTCTCTGCAGAGCAGTTATGGACCATTATGCGGACTGCATCAGATTAAGATTGGTCCTCTTCACGAAAAGAAGATCAAAGTGAGACTTGGCATTGCTCAAACTCATTAGCAGTGAACATCCTCACAGTTGATGGAGTTAAAGTGAACACCGATAGGAAGAATCCTCAGCTTATCAGAGCTACGCTTTCTGGAACCTAGCGTACAATACCTAACCGGCTTCAGCTGCCTTTCAGAACTCACACAACTGCATACTGTTCTTGTTTAGTCTATTGGTCCCATGGGGAAGGGTGGTGATGAGGTGGGGGGCTAAATCCTGTCTGAGCATGAGTGAGCCGACCACAAAAGCTGAATAAGAGCAGACATGGTAGAACAACCGTAGCACTAGCTCCGCCACGACTGGCGTTCACAGTGCAGCAGCCCCGGGGGCAGCTAGTTATTCATCTGTCCTGGCAACGCTCTTTTTAATGTGAGTTTTTTTTATGGCTTTTCCACTGGGCTTTAAGCAGTTAAGGAGCCCTAAATGCTTAATTAGGTGGTGGAAATCACAGGCACTTTGCACCCGCTCTGTAAACCACAACACTTCAGCCTATTAGGGGCATGGAGAGCCACACGCCAAATAATTAGGGCTGGCGGCAGAACTAGACCGCAAAATTGGGCTAAAGGGGGGAATACGGGGTTGGGTCTAAGCTTGGGTCACTGACTTAGAAGTGCAGAATAAGAGTGTGTAAATTCTGCACCTTTAAGTTGTAGACAGTGGATAGTGGACATGTGGTTTCAGGCAGAGTCCTGTACCTATTCAGGCTGTAGGATTAATGCGCCAGCAGTAAACACAGAGCCTAAATTTCATGTGTGGGTTTCAGGGATTTCTGTTTCTGTGAGTCTGCGTCTATGTATCATCACTCTGGAATAATATGGTATGTTGAAAGATATTTCGAAATGGTAAACTCCTGTCCTTAAAAGCAATCATATCCTCATCTACTCTTGTGTTTTCTCGTTTTTGTGAGATTCAGCAAGAGACATGGGTGCATAACCAAAGTTCACGAGTACGTTTACCGGATGAAAGCTGAGCTCCACGATGTTTCAGTATTTCCAGCTGGCCACAATCATTGCATTCCAAGTAGGGTGCTGATATCTGCTTTCTCTAGGAGTGATGACAGCAGTGTTAAAGGAGCAGTTATGGGTCTAAACTAATGCTGTGGTCAAACCGGATTGCTTTCTTCACACAGACAAAAACATCTTGTTACACCAACAGAAGGATGAACTGTCAGGTTTTGTTCCCAACCCAATGGTTCAATGAGAGTACAGCTAAGGTCCTATCCCAACACATTTCACCTTTGGCCTTACACTTGTTTTGCAGTGCCAAAATGGAAGCAAATGGGCAGGATGCATCCTCAATCCTTTTAGTTTAAAAGCTATTCATTCAAACCGCTGTAGTTTAGTTGCTAGTTGCAATTCAATACCCAATCTGAATTGATATTGTGCTGCGTCCAGCGCATAGGCCTTCCTGTTTTTCTATTTCCATACAATTTCCACATTTTGAGATGGCAACATGCTGGTAAAATCAAAGCCAAATTCTCTCACAGGCTTACTTATCTGGTTAGGAAACGGGAGAATAATAGAAATCTGAGTTTTTTTGTCCATTTCTCAAGCTGATAGCACTTAGAAAGCATTTTTGTAGAACTGTTTCAAACTTCCTGTCAGGAAAGCTATTGTGGACACGGGAGCCCACTGACATTCTTCATGTGATGGGGGTGATATTTACACTGTATGTTTGCTGTCCTTCTGGTCAGAGTAGACTCTGTCCTCACATACTTGTGTACCACAAGACCTCCGAGTCTCTGAAGTCACCTTTCCCCTCCAAACGCTTAGACACTGGCGCAGCGCTGGGATGGAGATGTGCACGGCGAGGGACAGACCAACTGGCTGTGAAAACTGTTGATGCTTTGCCGTCCGGCCGCCTCGCCGTTTCCCAGCACGTCCGCGCAGAGCGACTCCACGGCGTCCAGTCTCTCGATCTGCACCAGGCGGGTGAGGAGGTCCGGGATGCTGTAGCCCGCCGTGCTCACTCTCTCGAAGAGCTGGAGGCCATCGCTCATGCCGCCGATTTCGTCGCGCTTCAGGCCAAAGCTCTCCGCCAGGTGTCTCCACGTCTTCACCACCGCCGCCTCGCTGCTGTAGGAGGAGCTCAGCATGCGGCTGGCCTTCTCCAGACAGTCAAAGGGAAGCTCTGTGGGGCTCAGACCTGGAAAAGGAAAATGGAATTCAACTGTTGAAGGGGTTTGTTTACAGTGATGAGCGTTAGTTTTTTTTATCAGTTTGATAGACTTACCCTCAGTAACATTGCAGGCCCTGGCATACAGATCTAATATTTTCTTCCTTCGATTCTGTAGCATCTGCGTGACAAACAAAAGGTAAAGAAAAACAAGTCTTGAGATTTGCAGATGAAATTTGAACTTCGCTACAGGCTTTAAAAAAGCTCCACTGTCCTACCCCGGGAGTTTTATTGTTGTTGTTGATGGCGTTCACACTGCTGATGTGGTTGCTGCCAGCAATGTGGTTGACATTGCTGATGTGGTTGGGACTTGGGTTGTTGTTCGCCTGGCTGGCCGCGGCGGCCGGGTTGCCATTGCAGGCACGGCTGCGGTCCAGCAGTCCCAGAGAAAGCAGGCAGAGGTCAGGCTTGTTGCCCAGGTTGACCAGGCACAGGTTGGGATTAGGGTTGGAGGTCTCTGCCGATCCCTGTTTGTCCGGCGTGGGCTCCTCATCGCTGTCGATGCTGCGGCTCAATAGCTGCTCGTTCTCTGAAGAGGCGTCATTTTCACTGGACACACCAAGGCATTGTTGTTAATATTAAAAAAAATATATACATGTATATATTTCATACTCCAACATCAGCATTGTTGTACATTGTATAGGTTGCACTCATTAGCTCTTTGAATCGCAAAGCTCATGATAACAAGAAGACTCCAGCATGCATTTTAACTATATTTTAGCACCTTTACAGCACACTAAGAAACCCCCTGCCATATTTACTGAAGATGGGCAGAAACAGAAGCATAGCTGATCCTGTTCAGGTGAATTTTGTATGTTTGTGTGATCTTTGCAGAAAGCTTGGCTGTTTTCTTCCCATTTCTTCTTCTACAGACTTGATATCTATCTGTAAAAGATATCTGGTCAGATAATGTTAAGATTGTTATCAGGGGTGTGTTGCATTGCACTGAAAAAGTTTTAGCCAACACTGCCAAACGCACTGTCAGTGCTATGTTCCTCTCACTTTGAAGCTTTGTACTGTATGCTCGTATAAATCAAACTATGCTCTGACCATGGCAAATAGCCCTTAACTGCAGTAAAGAGTAGAACTGTGCCGTATGAGTTATAATCCTGGAACACTACCTATATAAGTGGTGATATATTTCACTTCACTTGTAAGAAAAACTTTTTTTTCCAAACTAAACCTGGAAAAATGAACTTCTTAGGCTGATGTTTTGTTACCATGACTGCCTATTCTCCTGTGATTGACTGGAGCAAACCTGTGATTCAAAACATGATACCATGTAATATGATTTTATCTCACATCCGCTCCCTCTTTTTGCCTTCTCTGGATTTTTCTCGGAAAAAAAGCACCTTGCTGATAAAGATGCACATTGTTTCAGTGTACCACACTCCTTTCCCGAACACGCTGACAAAATGGCATTGTTTCTCAGACATCAACACCCACTCTGGCAGCTAATAAGGTGAGTTTGCACATTTGCTGGCATGCTCTTTTACCACAGCCCTCATTGCCACTGAGGCTAAGGAGTGTATTTTTGCATGTGTATGCAAATATCCCATGTGTCTGATCTATTCTTACATTTACGCACCCTCCAAAAATGTTACAAAAGTGACAGTTAAAGTATGAATAGTACGATTAATCTAATATTTGAGCATAGTGGTTTAATGCAAACCCGTGTGCAGCATTTGCACGTGTCGCTTCTGCACGTTCACTATAAAGCTGCATTGTCCTCACATGAGGGATGAGATGAAGGTGAGCAAACCATAGTTCTTTTGTTGTCTGCTGGGACATGCTTTCACCTGGTGGTAAATTCATGTCAAGTTTGGAATAAATACCCCTATCCACCCTCAGAACTATTCCCACTGTCTGTCTCTCAGTGTTTTTAGTCTCCAGGGCTCATATGTGCTGCATTACCTCATACCCCTTCCAAAACCACCTCTGCCTGCTCAAAAGCCACATAATGAGTACTCTGCTTAATTAAAAAATGAAAAAACGTGTTCTGTTCAACAACACATAGACTGGGTATACAACACATAATGCATGTATTGAAGTTACATTGGCTGACCCAACACCTCATATTAAGCATAGTAAGCATTTAGAGTAGCTGTTTTTGTTTTGTTTTTTATCTTGGTAAGTTGTCTCAGTGAAAAGAAAAGAAATTCTTTGGACAATCAAATAATTTACCTTCAGATGCTTTTATCCAAAATGATTTTCAAGGATATGAACAAGAGTACTACTCTCCCTGTCAGGGAACCAAATATGAGTCTTACACATGACAGGTAGAGCCATTATTATTATGTGTTTTTCAGACAACTTATTTGTTGACTTATCCTTCCAAATTCAGCAGTGGTTATCTCTGTCATCTGCATGGCTATGCATAAACATCTGGCTGAATGTCCTGAATGATTGACGAAAAAAAGAGCATTGACGAAGTCTTTTTTTTTTGTTCTGCCACAAGAATTGGGTCAAAATGTGGTGCTGTATCTCACCATGTGCAAAGTATAGTAAGTGCAGATCTGCTATGTATAATGGTTTATTACACAGAACCCTTCATTTCATTCAAGTCCTCTAAATCCCCAAGACGGGAGTGAATTTCAGCTAAATGAAAAGTGTCCCACCTTTTCACCGTCTTCTGAGGAGTAGCTTTCAGCTTTTCATATTCATCCTTCTCTGAGAAGATCACTACATTGTCTGTGAAACCACAAATAGACAGGATTATGCAATATGTTTGACAAAAATCGGCTTTGATTAAAACAGAGTGCACATTTGGATCTTATCATCCACAGACAAAAACCAAAAAAATACAATCCCTTCAAGTGTTATTGTTAAGTGAACTCAAAACATTTTTTGAGAATATTGTGACCATGGAAGACTTTATTTTAAGAATTTTAAAATAAGCATTGGCATGAGTTAGTGCACACAAAAAGAACAGGTTCCTGAGGCTATATTTTATACAGCAGAGGAACTGGAGTTGGAACGATATACAAAAGTATCACCATGGGTATTGTGTGAATTTACACTCATCGTGGATCTTGTTGATTGGAATAGACAACTTAATGAGTGAATACCTAAGAGGGAGAAATGCTGTGTGTGTGCGCATTAGTTTGAGTTAAAGCACAAACGTCTTTAATCTCACAGCCTTATTAAGTCAGTGTCTCCATGAATGACAGCTAGCTCCGGTAGAGCTCCAAGCAATAGGCTGCTCTCCCACACACATCCGATGTCATCCAAAGTGCATTCTCACACAGAAACATACACACTCAAATGCACACACACTCATGCATGCATGTACGGCCATGTATGATGCGGACTAAGAATGCAGGCATTTAGTCCTAATCATACTAAACGTACACTGCCATCGCGTTTTCAGCTCTAATGTTTTAACATCCTAATCTTTCTGTGGCTGCAGCTGCAGTAATTAGCGTGTGCATGTGTATGTTCTCATTTACACCACATGTAAGCAGTTAGTCAGTCAGTCTGGGAGTTAAATTGAATAGAGTATCTACATCAGGAGAAATGGCGCCTAGAGCAATGTATGGCTTTAGCTTTGGAAACTTCACATTCCATCATGGTACACTCATCATTCTGCACGTCCGTCAGCCCACACATACACACTCGTATCAAGAAAGCGTGCAAGCTAACACACGCATTTGCATACATTAAGCCGGAAATCACAAATAGAAGATGAGACTGACACCTGGAGCCAACAGTGTGTTAACATTTCGACGTGGCTCCCTCAAATTAGATGAGGTGATAGGGTTTGTTTGACACAGCTAATGTGGGCTTGATCAACACTGCCTTGGTTGTTGGCCAGATCTTTACACGTTTCCCATAATTCCAATGGGGAGGGGAAATCTTTCTTATAGTGTGGTTTGGTTGCAAAATGGTCTGTGATTTTTAAATTCAACAAAAAAAAAGAAAAAGAAAATAGCTATCAGCTAGAGTCCTACAGGAAAGCTTCAGATTGTGGAAGTACTATAAACCTCTCCATGGATTACAATGTGCAGCTTGACAAAAATGGGAGTTGAAAGACCTTTTATGTAACAATTACTAGACGTTATATCTTCTATAACTTCAATGAAGTACTCCTGATAGAGGAGATTGTAAAAAAAAATAGACGAGAAAGGAATGGAATCAAGTCGCTCACTACATGTACCTGAAACAGGACAATGTGAGCAGAGCTGGACGTTTGTGAAAAAGATGGGAAAAAGTTGTTGTTTTAACTAAAGCGTGTGATAAACCTTTCACCAACACCTTGATTGACGGTGGCAACTTGTGCAAGATGTCAGATTATGTCTTCCTTAACCTGCATCAAATCTCATATCCAGGTTTTGTGAAACTAGGTAAGACTATAATTGGTGTGTTTTCTAAGTCAGGAGTGGGCCTGTGCACATGCATGTGACATGTGGATGAAGTTAGAAGTATTTACTGAGATTACTTGTGTTTCATGTAAACATAGCAAAGTATAATCAACATCAGGATGGGGCTTTTAACCACCATGCCAAAGTGAACGTAGACACAGTCACTTTTTAAAATTGTTGATTCTAAAGACGTCTTATCGTGAAGTTTAGAGAAGCGGTAATGACAATTAAACCACATATATCACTCATTCCTGGGTGTTTAAGTGTGTGCAATCTTTCTTACCAGGGACGTCTTTCTTGTCTTCCTGTTTGCTAGTCTGAGCCTCCACGGCTTTCACGACTTGTCCAGAGCAACATGCTGTACACACACACACACACACACACACATACGTAAACACACAGAACTTCACAGATTAAATATGGACATTTGTATGTGTGTTTTCGCAAATGCCTTGCCTTGACCACTTGGTTTGGCTTTCAGGATGTAAAACATGATGATGAGAACGATGGCAATGGCCATGATGAATATGGTTGACATGGCGATAATGAGAGCTGTTGCTAGGTGACCCTGTCCTGTGGAATCTGACAAATGGAGGACATGGTGCAAAGTAAGTAAACATTAGTGTAAATGTGTGAGGAAAAAATGCAGAGGACAGAATGGTGATGGACACAGACAGAAAGAGCCTGTCTGACTTTGGTTTTGTTTGGACCTTTATTTGGATGAGGGAAGACTGTTGTGCTGCCAGCATCAATCAGAGGTTTTCCATCTGGTTTGCTTGTTTGCATGCCTATAAGACACAAATGGAAATGAAAACATGACATTTTTCCACCAGTTCATCAGTGTTTGTACAATCCTATCACTAAATAAGTAGCTGAATTTGCATCAAATAAGTAGTTTAAATGACATAACCAAAAACTTATCAGGCATTCAGAGAGCGCATTCAGACATTTTTCAGTAGGTTCTTATGATCCAACACTATATCAAGTTTCATTAAACTAAACTTTGTATCTCAAATTTTGCTGAAAGAAGAAAATAATATGTCGGATGAATTGAGAAGTACATTGGAGAGCGTAATGTGGCTTTTGACCTCTTTTGGTCTAAAAGCATGAGTCAAACCAAACATTCTGGCAACCTTTGACTTAATGTCCATAGGCTGTATTTTTAATGGCATTTCTAAATGAAGTGCAGAGTCTTGATATCACCGTATGACATTTAGAAATCATGTTGGCAATTTGGCATTCACAAACACATAATGCTACTGGCTAATTGTATAGGTCAGCACAGCAATCACTGCAAGAGGAAGCAATAAATGAGTAATAAACTCATGGGCATGGCAGTCCCATGAGTGTATTCATTGATGGATTCAATTCCACCAATGCATGTTTACAGACAAGAAGCTAATAATCTTTTTTTTGTATCAAATATCCATCCCAAAGTTTGAGTTGTTTGCCGATCATGAGAATCTTATCCCTTGTACCCTGACATGAAGCAGTTCTTGGTAAGAATGACCAAAATTAGTTTTGCTCTAAAACCAGTTTTCTAGCTTTTGGTTATCTGAAGGCACATCACTTCTGAAAAAGCCTGGGAAAAAGATTCACTGACCAGGTATCTGAGTTTTAATAGTACGAGCTTCAGATTTAACAATATTTCCATTTGAACACTTTGTTTTCTCTTCAACATCTAAATCACAGTTTTCTTCTTTAAATTCCAGTGTACTAATGTGGCTACGTCAGCTTGGCCCTTGCAATTTATTGACATTTCTCCTCTATAGAAATCATTTTGCAAACAAAAAACAAAAGTAAATTATTGGCGCTTAAGTTTTGATTTCATTCATACCATCTACAGCCACAGTAAAGCAGCCGTTTCACTGGACAGTGGGGACATAAAGCTGCCGTTCTGCCCACATTTCTCCCTGTTGTCTGTCTATTGCCTCCAGTCCATCTCCCTTACTCCCCCTCAATATTTCCCCTTCTGGATTGTTCATCAACTCCTTCCTAATGGAGCTGTAAACTTGTGGCAGCCCGTAAATCAGCTCTTTTAATCAGCCTTTCATTTAGTTGATCTACAGTAGATCTCTTTGGCATGTGCCCTGCCATTTCCCGTGGTCTCAGGGCCTCGTGTCATCACATACACACACACACACACACACACACACACATCAGCGCCCTGTGGTTGCAGACTAACTCGGGGTATGTGTTTACACTTCTGTCAATAAAGGACATGAGTCTGAACTGGAATTCTGTTTAGCATCCTGTGGTTTAATCTCTTAAACTGTGTTGCAGACATAGAAAATAATAACCTCTGCATGTGGATCTTCTGGTCCAAAGAAACTCAAAGAAACATGGACAGATCGGTGTGTGCAGATGAAGTTTAAGGTCAGAGTGGCATTACCTGTTAGCATGTAAAACTGTGGAGACAAAGCGATGCCTACTGGTTCATATCAAAGCATGCCAAGAGGTAGCATCAGCGCAAGCAGAAACATGCTAATCATGTGTCTTTCTCAGACCCGCCAAAGTTTTAATTATCACACACACAGAGTGAGGCAGGAGCCAGAGTAATTTACAGATTACACGGCAAGTGTCAGCCTGCCTTCACCCTGAGTATGTAGAACTCCCAGGTTTCAGCTCCTTTATCTAATAAACTGTTGTGGAACATTATTTCAAAATTCATGTTTGGAGGATTTCTGTTCTGTTCCCGCAAGCTACAATAGCTTAAATGAGCGTCAAAGCTGGAGTGGGTAAGATCTCATGTTTAGGAAATGCACAACTAATACCCCATTTTGATCCATCTGCTTACCCTGAGACAAAGCTGATGAGCAGCTTCTTGTCACACCAAAAGCAGAGAAATCAGTTCTCAAAGATATAATAATAACCCCAAGCATGTATTTAATTATTCATGTCTAACCATAAATTCTCATGCAAATAACCAATGTGCACCAAGAGCAAAGAAAAACATAGAGTTTTAGATAATATTGTGACTCAAACCTGATTATTTTTTGTGACGAACAGCACATTTTACTAGTCTGTTTCTTTGTAAGTGGTTATAAGCGTTTAATAAAAATGCAGTATAATATTTGTGACTTTTTTCTTGTTATTAAAAACATGGAAGGCATAAGGACGTTGTGGTTTTGCAGCCTTAAAAATACTGTAATTTTACAAGTTCTGAACATGACTGACACGTAAGTCAAAACAAAGACAAAGATTACAATTGTGAAAGGCAGACATAGGAATGTCTGAACCAAACAACCACCATCTTATCATGGTGGGGGAGTAGGAGTGCATCCATTAGCCCCTGGTAGTTTCTTTTTTAAACATTAGATTTTGTGCCGATAAACAATGTAAGTATCAAAACCTCAGTTAGATTTGAAAGGATTTTTTATATATTATATTTTTACTGCAACATCTTTGTGTGTGAGTTAAATCACACTATCACTTTTATATGTCCTGGCATACTTTTTTCCAAGCCCAGACTGCTTCTTGGGGTTTTCATCTTTCAAAACACACTTATTAAATATGACACAATAACATTAGTTTCCAAGCTCTTCAGTTATACTCAGAGGGGACTTGCAGGGCCATAAATATCCTTCCCCTAACAGTATGAAACAGCAGGGGGTTGAAAGGCTACTCATATTGAATCATTGCTCCCTTACTTTTGGAATAAGGTTGCTGTCACAATAAACCCTCACCGAGAGCACAATAGATGTGGAAATACATGAAATCCCTTTTGTCGAAATGCTCGTTGCAAGTAGCAGGACTGATGATATGCTCTTCTTTTTTAAGATATTTCAGCTTCTGGCTGTTCGGCAAATCTGTATCAGCACAACCAAATATAGCAAATTTTAAAAGACAGTGAAAGATAAATTTCCAACTAAATGAGACAAACAGCTGAAGGTATTTTTTCCAACCCTGGGTCTAAAATTTGCCACAGCTCAAATGCTCTGAGCTGTGAGAGAACAGTTTCAGAAAGAAATGAGTTTGAGGAACGGAGAAAAAAAAGAATATTGGATGTGATACAGCATCAAAGTTCTTTCCATACTAAATCATATGGCTCTATCAGCACTTTCAAATGCAAATATAAAATTGAAAAAAAGTTTGAAACTAAGAGTAAGATGCATCGGAGAATCCATGAGCAGAAGGACTGTTTTATAAAGGCTTTTCAGCTACAATGTTATTTAATAGCTGCAGCAACATTTGGCACTGTGTTAAAGCCTTTAACTTAACTTATTATTGAAGGGAAACAACACAGACGAGTGAGAAACATCAGGATGAAAGTGAAGAACAGGATGGAAGACAAGAGAGGAAGGTTTTTTTTGTTTTGTTTTTTTCTCTGGGAACATTAGTGAGGCCCACATGGAGGGGATGACAGTGACCGGAGAGTTTAAACACTCAGCGCAACCTTCTGACATCCAAATGTTTTCTCAAACGATATCCCGGCTCTCAGCATCTGCTTTTGCACAGCACGTTCACTTTTATTTCCTTTCTTTTAGACATAAAATGATTTCATCCATTTGCTTTTAGGCTCGGTCTTAAGCTCGGGAAGACCGAGCGTAATACCATTTGCTTTTAAGAAGACTATTTGCTTTTAAGATCAGGAACAAAGTTTCTTTGCGGATAAAATTGAAACTTAGTGGTTCTGACATGATGTTTGGAAAACTTTTATCCAGGGAGGTAAATGGAAGGAAAGCAAGAAAAGACCAGTCTTACATTCTTTAGTGTTGCGAGGTGCATTCTGGCAGGAGTGGCAAACCATCCCGTAGAGATTTCTGGGTCGGTTCTTCAGCATGTAATACCTGTTAAACATAAAGGCAAACAAACAGAATATTAAACTTCTGCTCTGCCCATCACAGTAATTTACTAAATTTTCCACCTGACCTGAAAAGATTTTTCTAATAAGAAAAGTCTGAACACCAGCATGCAGGTACTGTCAGCAGGTGTGTGGAGCACGTGACCTCAGTAGGTATAGGGAAGCAGCCGAGGTGAAAAGTTTGCCTTTGAGAAGAAATGTGCATAATTGATGCCCTTGAGGCACTAAACACGGCTTGGTACAGATATGGCCCCCAGTCGTTAAGTGCGTGTCAGAGGGGGAAAAGACGAAGGGAATTCATGAGTTGTCACAGCAGTGAATAGCTGAAAAGCATTGACTCATTAAATCTTGAGTGAATTCTAAGTATAGTATGTCACTAACATGTATTTTATTTACATTATGCAGTGATTACATCCCTTGGAAATATCACTTAACGCGCAAACAATCAAAACAGCAGTGACCAATGAAAAATCCCTTTAGTTGCAATAAGTGTATTACCTTTACACTAAACATGAAGTGGAAATAGATCAAAGATAATAGATGTACTAAAATAAAATCAGAAATGTAAATAACTAGGCAGCAGAGCAGGATCCTGAACGCTGGCATCAGAACATCAGCAAAAACATTCAACCCAGAGGGTTTTCTACCTGAAATATATGCAGGTCAGACTTCATATCGATGTAAATATGCAGTATGGGCTTGTTTTGGCCTCTTTATCAAAGTGGAAATGTATTACAGAAGCTGGAGCGTCTCATACATTTGCTGGTGTTAGCTTACAGGTCAGAGCACATCCTTTTGATGTCTATGTAGTGCAATTGGTGCACTTCCTTTGCTTATTTGCTAAAAATGAATTCTCACGCTGTAGGGCACGGGGGTAGATAAATCATGCTTTGGACTGGTAAAGAAGCCAGTTGCACAGGGAGCGTTTCCATGAGAAATGGCACCAAGGATTCAATTAGAACCAGGAAAAGCTGAAATCAAGCATCATGCTTTCGGTCGAAAAACTCCAGATGAGAGCATGATGGCGAAATAATGATCTTAAACCAGCTCAGAATAACAATGAATTTACACAAGAAGCTTAAGTTAAACATCTAACCATGACCCTCACAGTCGACTAACCTAAACATCATCAGGCTTCAAAAGAACAGAGCAAACAAGACCATCCAAAAATCTCAAAGAGGCCGAAATAGAATCAGGAAAGCAGAAACTGAAAGTTTAGCCGGATGCAAAAAGTGTTTACAAGCAGCCGTGCTAGCCAAAGAGTTTTACTAAGGAGTGATTGATGCAGGATGGCTCAGGTTTGCTCCAGGCCTGTTTCCTTTTTTTTTTGCAACATTTTAACTATAACACATAATGATTGTGAGGAATCTTTGACTGATAGTTGTTTAGCCAATGTAAATATAAAGCTCATAAATGTCTCTTCTTTGGCGTTCAAACATGAGCTCTCCATCATGTGCAGGGTGCAGAGTCTGAAGGGCGGCACTGAGAAGTCCAGAAGCTGACTTTGGAATGAACCACTTAAATAAATTAGATGTTTGATACAAACAGCTTGTGTGTGTGTATAGATGGCCCAACAAATTCTTTTCTCCTGTTAATGACACCTTTAAAACACTGAACCGGGGAGCTGCTTCTGTTCCCATTCTTTCTTCCCCTAATACTATAAATATATGGATGTTCGGCATTCTGCCGTAATCGCTTTTCCCAGTGATGTGTGTGTGTGTGTGTGTGTGTGTGTGTCTTTACCCTGGCAGACAGGGTCCGCACTCCGCATCGCTCTCTGGCGTTCCTGCCACACGAACAGCAGCTTTGTAGAGGGCATCACAGTCTTTATGGCGTCTGCAGATCTCGTATTTTCCTTTGGAGTATTTCCCCTGAGGGCACGGCACACAGGCGAAGTCCTCATCCTTCAGACCATAACCGCAGCTCTGCAAAAACACACAAACGCAAATCATTTAGCCGTGATAAAATCCAATTAATAGTGAACTAATAATCCATTACGAGATCATTGTATATGGTCTTTACAGATTAACACGATGATTCAGCGCTATGATGTGCACACACAAATTCAAACGCACACTTCAAAACACACATCTGTTTCTGGAAATGTCTTAAAAATCTGGCTTTGCTTTTCTGAGATGACAAAAGAGAAATCTGATTGGTCACAGAGGTGTGTGTGTAGTGTGTGGTGTGTGTGTGTGTGTGTGTGTGTTCAGCCCCTCCCATGCCTGGTAGCGTTTAAGATGACCAACTCATCGTTCTGTTTTCTTGCATCGATCTCCTCCACATGGTGCTTCCTCTCAGTGGGGAGGCCCGACAGGCCACACACACACACAGCCATGATCACACATACAAAAACATACTCGTTTTCTCTCTTTTTTTGGCTGCTTCTTTCATCTTTGATTTCCCCCTTGCTTTCATCCGTCTATTAAACCGGCCTGTGCCTCTTAGCTTTGGGCTACAGAGGACCGGCTCCTAAAGAAATCTAATATTCTCGCCCTTCTGTTTGACGTCCACATGTCTCATTGTGATTGTTCGATAGAAAAGTGCACAGAGCTACCCGCAAGATCATGTCACTCCGGGTTAAAGCTCTCCTTGGATCTTTTGTAGGACGGCTTACCGTGACTCCGCTTCTGTTCATTGCCTCAAACCAGTTCCAGAGTGATTGAAAGCGTCTTCTCTTTCAAAGCAAAATTCTCACCTTTTTTAATCTTGCTTGAGATGAATTCAGTGAGGGAAGGAGGAAGGCAAATGAACCCAAACAACAGAAACCTCTCTGGAAAAGCATATGTTTTTAAAATGTACAGGATTTTGTGGGGGAATGCAGGAGTAGGGCAGGAGGGTGATGACTTGTAAATAAGGTCTAGCAGACTTATACTAAGGAAGCTGCATCTCAAACCACTTGGTCACATGGGAGCAGGGTCTCTTTTGTCTCTCCATTAAGTTTGGAAAGTAGAAAAGTAAGTCTACCTTAACTGTGTTTGTATTCTCGTCAACAGACTCGGATATCTATAAACACAAGCCACTCTGTTTGAATGATACATCTGTCTGAGTGTTTGGACATGCACTTCCTGAAGTCTCTGTTGTGAGGAGGAACCTAATGGTTACTCCTTGATTAAAAGCATGTTAAAACACACACTCACCCACATGTAAGAAAACCTCAGGGAAATAAGAGAACATGGGAATTAAAGACTCTTGTCTGTCTTTTTTTTAAGACACAAATGGCTGCACCCTGCTATGAAAAATCTTTCCCCCCCACAGACAGAGCTGCCAATTGGTTGCTGTTGGGTCTGTTATATTAATAGATATATGGATAATTTGATTTCTATGTATTTGAATGCAGAAACAGACACACAAAGAAACAGTGTGAGTGCTAAAAGAAGAGTCGGGGGAGTGTATACCTGATAGATTCATAATTGCCAGTTAAGTCATTTTCTTTTCATTAAGATTAACCAGTAAGGAAGTTTCGCGCTATTCTGTTGTGAGTTAATAATGACCATTTTATGATACTTTTATAATACAAAGTGGAAAGAAAGTATTTTGAAGCCTTCAGTTTTTTAATAATCCTTCACAAAATATGCTATTTGAATAAATGGATTATTCATTTTTCATGAATTATTCCACGTATGGTTACCAATATTTGAGCTTCGTGACTTGCTATGAATTTGATTTCACACTAATTTGCTCAGTGTTTCATGTGCAGTTCAAAACCCAAAATGCAAGTTAGTTTAACAAAAAAAAACAAGACAGAGTGTGTTTAACTAAAACAGCCACAATGAGGAGAATGCTCAAAAAACTCAAAAGATTTCAGCATCAAAATAACTATAATTCATTGTTTTCACACTTGAGCGCAGCTGTCTCTCTGACGGGGGTGTGGCCCCCTGGGGTGCCCACTGAAGCGTTTACCTGCCCTGTGTTTACTTTGGCTGTCTGCAGACTGACTGACAGATACTAAATCACTATGTGACTACTGCAAGTCACTCACCGTAATGCATGCCTTCACATTGAAGTAAATGAGAGCAATAAACCATAGAGAAATTGTTCATTTGAATTAAGGCATCCTTCACTGTGCAGCAATGTGATTTTGCAAGTGCATGTGTTGCGGGTGGTCTGAGAAAAACTCACAAATATCAAGTTCACATTCTCTATCGCTCATGCTCTTCATCAATTCTTAATGGCTATCGTTACAGATCTAACTCTCCAAAGACAGTTGATGTTAAATGAAGACATGAAAACAGAGAAAACTCAATGAGAAAGGAAGAAGCAAGATTATGAGCTAATGTAATGGTTTTCTTGCTCTCACCATATGCGGTTCTTGTCCTGGCTGGCACTGAGGGCATGCCTGGCAGCTGTTGCTGGTCTGGTTGAAGAACTCATACTCTCCACAGCTGGAATACTCAGCGCTGGCAAACATGCAACACACCTGGAGGGACATAGAGACAAGACAGTTGGAGAAGGCACACAAATGCAAGTCTGCCAAACACACGACACGCACACACGACACACATGACTAATCACACTGCTGCTGCACTGCTGTGACCAAAAACATCATATGATAGAATTGCACCCCATTATAAAGAATACATTAAGGCAGGATGGACACTTGTCCAAAACAAAAGCAGATGCAGATTCGTGACCACACTGGATTGGATCAGTTGTTAAATAAAACTGGAATCTACAGTTAATTTGTACAGCACATAAACTGGGAAGCAAAGAAAGCACACATCAACTTTCGTGTTCTTTATGTGCAATACTCATCCTAGCTTAGATTGTGTTCTTGTTTAACAGACCTTGATCTATGTTTTTCACAGAGAAATTGTGACTCCTGAACTGTCCCTCGAAGACTGAGTTAAAGATGTAGGTTAAGACCGTGGTGATATTCGGCTTTGATGAGCTGCGGTTTTGGTCGTAGTCGGAGGACGCTTTAAGGGAACTTAACTTAAAGGGATGTCTCCTGAACTGATGGAAACACAACAGAGCATGTGGTTGTGTGCGTATATGTGCTGGCACTGTGTTATTGTGGCTCAATTTAATAAGTAGCAGCTGGTATTTACGGCTATATGGGCATATTTCCGAGCAAACTGAGTTTTTACAGTCATGTGAAATCCAGAAAATAATGGAGGGGAAAATAAATGTTTTCATGACTAAGTCTCTCCATCTCCCTCTTTTTTCTCCTCTTCCTCAAAATCATGTCCTGTCAGAGAAGACAAAGTGCTCCTTGAAAACCAACATATTTCATATATAAGCCCATTCTTCCCTGGCCAGATAACTTTGCTCATAATATTAGTCAAATCCAAACCACACAGCTGGTTTACGAGTCTGAAGTAGGTTGGTATATTCCTCTGCTTACAGTAAAACAATACAATGGTGTTTGGGTTTTAGAGACACCCAGGGGTGAGGTTGCATACTACAACCAGCTGAGTACCCCTCGCCTCACCCTCCCATTTAAAGAGAGGCAGGGAAGAATTCATACAACCCCAAAATTGGTCAGTGGCAGCATTTGTTTGTCAAGTATGGGCTACTCTGAAAACAAGGAAAATACAAACAGCAGCTGCTTGTGCAAGTAGGGTTATTCTAAAGAAAATGTTTAGGTCACAGACCAAGCATAACACTATTATGAGTATGATATCTAATTTTTGAAAAACTAAACATTTGAATTGACCCTGATATTGAGTAAAATGCTAAATGTACTTATGTATTTTGAGCAAAAGATTAAAAATAAAGTACAGAGGTATTTTTGATGTTGCTTCTCTTTTCTATCTCACAGCAAAGAAACTGTGGACCCTCACTCATAACACAAAATATCATAGACAGACTAATAACTCCAAACTTTATCCAGGGTTTGTCCTGTAATGAAAGGCTGATCACTTCAACATTTTTATGTCTAATGTCTAATGTTAAGATATTTTAGCTCAAGAAAGGGTTTCCAGTTCCTTTTTAAGATCTTGGTGTTCATCGTTTGAATCATAAGCAATGATGTACCATTATTAGCTATCACATATAACAATGTTTGTTTATAATTTGCATGTGTCACATTAATTATGTTTTCTGCTTTTTTAAAAGAATTGATCAAGGATCTTTTCAAAATGGGTGGGGTGAGGTCTCTATAATGATCCACGCACCTACTGATCAGTCCAGATATCTGTTTCTGTATGACCCAAAGAGACATCTGTTCTGACTATTTGCTTCCTTTCTCTTTCAATCCTGGATGCAGATTACATTAGTAGTGAATGATTCAGTTAATGGCTTCTTCTTTCCAAATTATCTGTGTTGGAACTTGTGAGAAATGAAGTGTTATATCCTGACATTTTACGCCAAGAGTGAGTCAAGTGCTGGCAGTTTATTCTATATCGGTTCATTTCAACCCTAATATGTCTGCGAAGGTCACATTTCATTTTATTTTTGTTTAAACATTTGAGACTGAAAGCAAGTAAGTTAAATCATCTGCAATTTCTCATTGCTGATGTGTCAACACATTTACGGGTCCTTTTGGGAATTAAGCAATCAATGTTTAACTCTATTTACTTTACTTGTCAAATTAACTTTATGTCTTTCCACAGCTGGAAAAAAAAAAACTTCCTGACGCACAAATTTACCACGCCATCTGTACACAGCTGCATCACAACGCTTTGGAAATATATTCACTCAGGCACAATAAAACGGAGCTCCACATATCTTGATATGAGCAACACATCCTGTGGGTTGGAGTTTATGAGTAAATCCAGATATTTTTTTGGTTTTTGAATTAGAACCTTGGTGTTAGACTGAAATAGGAGCTGACAGAGAGGAAGGCAGAGAAGGTGAGGTGCAGAGGCCTGTTAGGATCTCCGCCAGCAGCTCCTAACATCAAAACAAGCAGGGAAATTTCAGATTAAACAGAAATAAGCTCTCTGCAAAATCCGTCTGCTGTTTATTTAGTAAAAATGTTGCAGAGTTGCGCAAGTTGCTGGCATGTAATACCAAAAGTCTGGATGAGGGTGTACCAGTTGTGGATTCAGATATGGCTGCGATCCATACTGTGGACCAACATGTGTTTCTGAGAGCCAAATGCAAAAGGACGGTGAAAAGTGAGAAAATAAGGAAGAATTCAAGAGATGGGGATGCGATTAGCATAAACTGTGAAGGGAGGGTGAAGATAACGTAGATAAATAGGTACAATTATTTTAATGGATTTGTAAAGAATGTAAATGAGAGGAAATAATGGAAGTCGATTTAAAATAATCTTTCTATGAGGTGGAGAAGCAAACATACCAATAATGAGGACAGAAAGATGGACTTCTTCTGGCTTCTTCTCACAGACATCTCTGCGTCTTTTTCCTGGGGATCAAAAAGGTAAATGGTCACTTTTGTAACTACAATCGTGTCAGAAATACCAGTGTTCGGCCTCATGCGATTAACTTGTGCTAAATCGGTGATGTCATTAATCTAAGCATTCCAGCAAGTAGTTGTACTGTGAGTTGTACTGGCAATGTTGTCAGTGTGTGAGGCCCTGATGCATTCAGTGTCCTGTTTGCATCACTTCATTGCCAATAAATAAGTAAGTGAAGCACATTAGCCTGTGGCATTTTTTATGACTCATATCTATTAGCACATATCACCGCGAGCTAACCCCAACTAACAAGGCTGATGATATCATGTAACATTTGTCATTCCCTTGTTTTGACTGTCAGGCAGACAGTGGTAAACTAGTGCTGTTTTGATATATATTCTGCTGTAAATATATAATGAATAATAAATATATTGAGTATTATATATTTACACTTTTAGATCAAAATATATATCACCACGGAAATGACCTAGTACTATAAAATGTTCTTTTTTATGGTACATGTTTCTGATTCTGATAAGAAAATGTTGTGTCTGAGATAAATAAAACTGGATGAGTAGATGACTCAAGGGAAAAAATGTCTACATGTTTTAGCCACTTTAAGGCTGTGACTGCCTGAGTTTTTGGCATTGGCTGGAACACAGTCACCACATTAGCAATTCTTTTTTGTACTGCCACCATGAAGCTGTTGCCAATTTAGGATTTTGAAATATGACATGACCAAATGTGGTTAAAAGGAGACAGTAGGCCCACAATAGCAATGCATGACGACTGCACTAACAGTACACCACAATAACCTGAGACAGCCTGCTACCTTTTCATCATGAAAAGGAGTAGAAGCCCAACAGGGACAACTCCAAATAGTGTTGAAATAAGTCATGTTCCTTACTAGATTAATAACATAACATAAGATACAAATAACCACATACCAGCACAGTATGTATATTCCACGAACGGTCTTACACAAATTAGTTTTAATTAGTCTTTTTTAAGCAAAATATCCATCATTCACCATACTGTGATCTTTGTAAAATGTTCTTTGATACTCCTTTTAGTGTGAATCAATTTAGCTGGCTCATCGTGACAGTGTCTTCCTGGAAATCCGTTTTGTAAATACATGTGTGAGCTGGTTTTGCTGTTTATCATTGTGCTATTGTTTTCAATGATCTGCCCTTAGGTAGAATCAGTTCGCAACTTTAAACCCATCTGAAGTTGTTGAGGGCATCAAAGTGTGTGCATGTTTCTGTTTGAGACACAAAAAGGAAGAATCTGCAATTATCTGCAATCTGAGGTCAAAATCTGTGTGTCTGGCTCCAAACCTCAGATTTCACTCTTCCATGTCGCATACTTCAGTAAAAACCCTTCTGATCTTCGGTGATGGCTAATTCTCCAAGCCCCAGGGTTTGATCTTGCTTAATTACAGCATCCGAACACACATGCACGCACATTAACACATAAATGGACGGCCTATAAATATGCACAGCATTCGTTTGTGAGGGGAAAACAGGCTTAATTGCACAAAACTTTGTGGTAAGGCCACAACCGGTATGTATTGTGTGAGCACATGTGCTTATGGATGTGTATACGTTTTTGTGTCTCTGCTGAGGAGATAAAAGGGTAGATGGTGCTTTTCTATTTTCAAATCAGGAAATGAAGAACTGCCAAATGGCTATGGACACCCTCAAGGCTAGTCATTATGGGGTTATAGTGATGTACACACAAACCCGCCTACCCCTAAACACATATACACTCGTACGGTTGTGTCTGAAGACTTTTGGTGTCTTCTGACTGTCTGCTTTACCTCTTTCAACTCTGTCTCTCTAACCTCAAACCTCTGTTGGGGCAGGTCTGAGATGAAAGTCAGCCTGAGACCCCCCGAGGGTATTAATCTTCTAACGATGGTATAATCTCTAATAATTAACCTGTCTGTCTTAAACGCGTCAAGTTTAGCGTATTTTTCACAGTAGCACCAGTATAACCCAATGAATGCACAAGACTGCCTCTAGTTGTTATGGTGTGTTTGGTTGTTTGTTTTTTTTGTCTGCATTTTGCAATATTTGCTGGAATAAAATGAGAACAGCCTCCCTCTTTTCATTAGCTCTGTCCTCTGATCTGTTTTTCATTTACTTTCACTTGATTGCTCTTTCTGTCAGAAGAAGAAATCTAATATGAGATGTCACACAAAAATAGATAGAAAATTTATTATTTAACTATATAAAAAAGTGCAATAACAAACCCATTGACCTCCTCATAAATCAACAAGATCCAAAGAAGGTTAATCTTTGTCAAAGCTTCATAGCCTGTTGTGACAAATACGAAGCCCTATTGTTGTTAATCATCCGGCACAGAGCTTCAAAGAAACTTTAAGCCCACTATTTTTGTGGGCTGCACCAAAATATGATGGACTTTGCTAAAAGGTTATAGGGATGTTCAGACCCTGTAGGTAAAATGAATGTTTGTTCGATGGAAAATCCCATAGATCTCCTAATACAAACACACTAGGGGAGAATCTGACTATCCTTCACTGTTAAGAGACTGTTCTGCTTCTCCTTTTGGAGGAGGCATTTGTTTGTGCAAACTGAATCAACTTTTATGTTTTCTGTTCAAACAATGCAACCTCTAGTGGTCACAAGAACAACTGCATTGAAAGGTAAAACTGGGGTCCATGAGGGGGATTATTATGCTGTAAAAACCATTCGATTTTCAATTGTACTAGGATGTTGTTGTTTTATTAACACAACCAAACATGTCAACGTCTAAGCAAAATCATGAAGTGGCCGCAGAGTTTCAGTAAAATGCTGCTGTGTTACTGAACCTTTTCATAAGTGAAAAAAAAGTATTTGTCTCATGTTAGTCATCAGTTAGTTTAATGAACACACAAATGATTATTTCCATGCCATCCAACCTCCTGATCTATGCCCTTGTGCTGGCTTTTGAAAGAAATTCTTGATAAATGACATCTGCTCTGTTGTGGAAACATTCATATGCGTCAGGATTCCCTCCTGCTGCTTTCAGGGGGGGCACTTTAAAGGGTATGAACAAAAAGCCTATAGGATCCCATCAGTTGGAGCATTGGAATTGCCTCTGACTTGATCCAAATTCAACCTGACAACAGCTTAAAGCATACAACCTGTGTCATGAAAAAACTATGTTAAGAATTAAGAGTTGGGGCGAGTACCAACAATAGATGCTCTTCACTGAACCCTTATAGTTGAAGTGGATAGGGATCACATTCAATTTTTTATTTTTTGTATGTCAGATTTGTAGATTGAGCTATGATTTGTAAAGTTGTTTAACAGCTATAGACATAAATATTTATCAACTGATCGATTTAACAAATGAATTAACTTACTTTGACCAGACCGGTAATTTTTCTGGGTTTTTACCTCCTCTCTCTCTCTTACTGATTCATTTCCATTCATCATTTTCAATGAGAAATTCGCCTTATGTTTCTTGCTAACTTGCTATCTTTACATTCTGTTACAGATGGATTGTGACGGAAATGGTTTTTTACCATCCACCATATAACTCTGTAAAGGATATTTATTACAGTGTTTGATAATGACTGCCCTTTTAGGATTAGGGCACTTAGTGGCAAGGGAACCCAGCCAAGAAGCAAAGCTATGTAGACAATGGTGTGGTTAGAGGATGGTTTGTGGGTTTTTTCCTTTCTTTTTAAAATCACTTAATTCCTGATGACAATAACATTATCTGCACATACATTCAGGGATCCTGGACTTGTGTTTGTTTGAGAGGAAAAGTCTGTTTTTCCACTAAAAGCATTCAATCTTTCTTATTATCCAACTTGTCTTTTCCACTGACCCAGAATCCAAACATGTGAGCTATAAAATTCACCCAATAAAAGAAGATATATGATAGTAACTTGAGCTGCCCAAAGATGATGATTTAACACATGTCAAAAAACAATAATCATTTTTATGTAAAATACTAACATTTGTCTTGCATGAAAATAAGCTTCCTCAAAGGGCTGTCATGGTGTTCATCCATTCAAGCAGTAAATATTTAATAAAGAAAATCAATAAATCCCATCCTATCCTGCTTGCCCAAAGAGGATAACACTATTGGTTTAGATGTCCCTATAACGAATAAATCTTTTTATATTAACAGGCGATTCTGTGAGTGTGACCCTGCCATAAACAAAACCTAACACACTTGCAGAAGTAATCCACTCCAGGCCTTACACAAGTTTAGAAGTTAATAACTGTTCTGCTTAAAAGCTCCAAACCTTAAAAAAGCCATTACTTTATCCCTTTAAAAACCCGAGCTGAAGCTGCCAAATTTGACTAAGATCTCAAACACATGTTTTGCTGTCTGACATCCTTAAAATCTGGCATGTCACTGTCATATCTGTGGGCTGTTGTCGAGCGCACAACACTCATCCAGACAGCTATGCATTTAACTCACTTTCTTTGAGCCTTTGACAGATCATATCGTACTGTGTTTATCGCCACTGGACATCTATGCCACTTCCTGTTTCATTAAATTAAGCACACCTTCAGGGTGTGACAGGATGAGATGAAACAACAGTTACGGGGCTACGGGTACTTATTTAGCTTCAGTTTTTGAATTTTCATTGATGATACAACTTCAGTGGAGTGGGTTTGTAGATGAAACAAAAAGGAGAAAACCACACAATTAAGTGGATTTTCCCTCTATTGCATTCATGTAGTCTGTCATTTTAAACTCCACCAGCTTTGAGAAGAATCTGCCTTTCACAAGTCTCCGTGCAGCTTTTTTTTCTTTCATGACAGTTTGGGCAAATGTCCCTCTCTTTTTATGTATGACAGACATAAGAAAAAAAGGCTTCATGATCAAAAATGATCGCAACCACAAAATGAAAAAGGCAAATATTGATAGAGATCTCTCATGCAGAAAAACTTTTACTGCCACAGCGTGTAGTCTAACTATTCTTGTCAGTTTAACACCGTGTCATTACCTGTGCAATGACCGTAATCATCTGCCCGTCCTCCTGAACACTGACTTTACGATCATACTGCAACGTCCCAATCATCGTTTAAGAATTTGGCCAATCCGCTGTCAT